CCTAAACCCCTAAACCCTGGGGAACCGAGCCACCAACCAGGCCGCTAGGCCATCGGAGGGAGCCCCTGCCTTCCAGAGGCCGAGCCAGACATCGAGGGAAAAGTTGGCGCTAGGGGCTGCAAGCCTGGGCTCTTGTTAAGGGATCTAACTTAAGTTACTAGGGCTCTTGTTAAGGGATCTAACTTAAGTTGCTGTAACAAGGAAACCACAGAACTGACTATAGATCCCTAGTAGTATGGTAACTAAACAAAAACCCCTTAACAAGAACCCAGAAGCATGTAGATGTAGCCCATGGGCATACGGCCAGGGGTTCGGGTCAGCTCCCGTGCCCTTGCACGGAAGAGGCCCTGGACGAACTCGGAAAACGCGGGGAGGCTGCTGTACCACCGCTCAATGGCCGCGTGGATGTTGGCCTTGTCAACCTCCACGGTGCAGTCGACATTGAAGACATCGAAGTTCGCCAGAACGTCGTCCAGCTCCATTTTCCAGCGGCACTTGCCCCGCAAGGAATGCAGCAACGGAGCCAAAATTAAGGCGCAGAAGGCCAAGGCAAGCAGCATAAACTCTCGGCTTGCAACTCCAATTCTCAGGAGTAGCGCTAGGCTGTTTACGGCCACGAGAATGAAGAAAAGCTGAGAAGCTACTGCCTCCACGTAGATCGGGGCTATCGTGATCTTACCCTTCGGTTTCAGCTTGCTAAAGGCCGCTAGTTCAAAGACACACCAGAGGCGCGAGAACAATGGCGTGTCCCAAAGCACGTGCAACTCCTCGGACGCTTCCAGAAAAGTTCCAAGGTTGTTGATGCCCTGCTGCATCAGGTTTTGGTCCCCCTGGTGGATGCATGCCACATCAAGAAAGCACATGTCTCGCTTTCGGCACGGCAGATAGGGAGAGATCACCAATCCCACCAATGCCGTTGAGGTCCCGAAGAGTGAGACCCAGTAGCTCATTGGAATGACGCCCGAGAATCCGATCGCTGTGCCTTTCGTTTCGAAGGTGAGAGGCAGCACATCCAGCATGCAGAGCACCATCGGCACGATCATTCCCAACACCCAACCGGTAAGCATGCAAGGCCAGCCGCTGCTGAGGAGCAAAGACAGGACCTTTCGCCATCCCGGCGTCAGCCAAGTGTGAGAGAGGAACCGGTCCAGTCCTTCCACCGGCCTGGAGGAAGAATAGAGCTGAGAGCGCTCCGAGAGGGTCAGCGCGTCGGGCGGGTGCCTCCAGACACGGCCACCACGCCAGAGTGTCTGGCAGAAAGGGATCCCCCGCAGAAGCTGGCGGTTTGTTAGGGTGAGGTCCAGTGTTTTGGTCGAGCGGTGGACGTCCATGGGCATTTCCTCAGGCTCTATGTCCTGCAGGCCGGCATCGGCGGACTCCTGCAACAGCAAATCTCATGCCCTGTACTATTTTTTGTTATAATTATAAAAAAATAATATGTATGAAGACACACAAAGAAAGCAATAAATAAATCAATATATACGTCTATATATGTGTATATAATATATATATATATATATATAAATATAAATAAATAAACAAATAAATAAATAAATACATATATATATATGGTTGTGCGCTGTGCGTTCGGACCCCCCCCCCCACCTCCCCCCCTCTCCCTTCAAGAGAAGGTCCGTACAGGGTTTATGAGGGCCAGTACAAGATTTCTTCGGGTGTTCATGAAGTCGACAAGGGGTTTTAGAGAGCCAATATAGGGTTCTAGGAGGGCTTCAATAAGGTTTATCTGGGCCTTGCAGGATTGACAAAGGCTTTGTTCTAGTGCGCGCTCGAAGGCCTGGGACGGCGGGGTTCAACTCAAGGCTTTTTATGACTAGTAGGACAAGTGCTACCTGTGCTTATTCCGGTTCGGAGGGGTTCAAGGCAAGGTTTCGAATGATTACGCGACAGCGGGAGGGAAGGAACCGATGAAAGGGTAACATGCATGTATACATATATATATATATGTATATAGCGATATGGTCCATATATGTATGTATGTATGAATGTATGTATGTATGTATGTATGTATGTAGGTATGTATGTCTGTGTTTTTGTGTATGTCTACACCGGACCATGCATGCACAAGCACATATGTGTGTGTGAGTGTGATATGTATGATTATGTGTTTTGTGTGTGTGTGTATGTATACACCAGGCCATACATACACAGGCACTGGTGGCACGTGTGTGTGTGATCTATCAGAAACGAAGTCCAAACCTAGTCCTGTTCCACAGGGGGGGCAGGGGTGGGTGGGTGCCGGGGTTCTCTATAGCACTTCCTTACCTGGACAGCACACACGAAAAGAGAGCCGCACCTGTTCCACACAAGCAAGGCGGAGTATAAGTGGGCCATAAATGTGTCTGTGTATGTGTGTGTGTTATGGTCCATGTATGTATGTATGTATGTATGTATGCATGTATGTGTGTATGTATGTATGTATGTATGTATGTATGTATGTACTTGTGCGTATGTCTACACCGCGCCATACATACACAGGCACATGTGTGTGTGTGTGATCTGTATGTGTGTGTGTGTATGTATACACCGGGCCATACGTACACAGGCACCTCTGTGTGCATGTGTGTGCCCGTGTGATCCATTAGAAACACAGTTCACACCATCATACCACCTCCTTCACAGGACAGCGCACACGGCTCCAGAGGCAGAAGAAAGGGAAGGGGGGCTCTTCGTCGTCATCACACGGATGGAGCATCACAGAGCCGCGGAAGCGGGCTGTCCCGTTGTACCGAGGGGGGGAGGAGTACGTCATGATCAGTGTATACTTGTAGATGACATGACTCAGGGAGGGGGGAAGGGCGCATGGATGCAGAAGAACCACAGACCCAGGGCCGCAGGAGAACATATATCGTTATGCCTGGTTAATTGTATATAAACGGAACCATGTGGGGGGAGGAGCGGAGGGGGGGGGGGGCGCCGGGGCGCAACCATGTATATGTATACTTCTCTACAAGCCGGCTCAGCCCCAGATTTGTCCTGAAACACAGAGGCAGGGCGGTGCGTGACTTGCTCTACGGCTGGCTGCTGGCTCGGCTCGCACGGAGAGCAGCAACTGCCGTTGCTTGGAGCTTGTCCCATCGGACTTCCGTCTACCCGACACACTTACAGCCGATAGGGGCTTAAAGGGACTAAGGATGTAAAGGGTTTGGTTGGTGCTATTTAATGTGGAGGGGCTAGATGTTACTGCTTGGCGTGTTTGGAAACTTGTCATACACACACAGAGAGATAATATGTATACATATATATATAGTTACTATTTATTTATCTCCATTTACATACATACATATATATATATATGTATAATGAGAATAATTGTTATTGTATGTATATATATATATACATACACATGTATACAGATGTTATACACCATGCTAAACTCTTTTTCTGTAAGATTGGGGAAGATCCGGAGGCTGCGCAGCGAAAGGCGTTTGCAAGACTCTTCGTTGCGTTCGCAGGCTAGGGTTTAGGGTTTAGGGTTTAGGGTCTAGGGTTTAGGGTCTAGGGTTTAGGGTCTAGGGTTTACCGAAAACCCTACATGTTTTAAGGACTTCTAGCACGAAATCAAAACAAGGAGCCCCAAAACGGTAGGGTTTTCTGGGGGTGAATAGTTTAGGCTTCGCTTGCCTGAGGCCCTAGACCTTAAACCCCAGCCGTAAATCCTCAACTATTATATCCAAAAACCCAAAACCCTAAAACCTCCTACTGATAGGAATTGGGGGTTGTAGAAGTTTCGTATTGGGACTGCTGCCAAAGTCTTAGGCACCAATGCTAGTATCCGGGGACATTGGTCCCAAAGAAATCCAAAACTTTCAGACAAGCTTAGTGTGGAAACGGCACAAACCTATATAAGATCAATATGTGTACATTTATTTATGCATGTTTTCCTATTCGCTTACTTTGCTTTTCATTTATGTACGCTACCTGGCTCTTAGTACGGAGTGGAGGATGGATTCCTATTATAACCCATTCCCCCATTTTCTACTAAGAACCAGGGAGTATAGGGTTTTGGCTAAACCCTAAACCCTGAACCAGTGACCTCCCCGTAACCCTAAAACCCCCAAAACCCCCAAAACCCTAAAGCCTAAACCCTAAACCCTAAACCCTCCCAAAACGGTGGTTGCGGTTTGGGATTCAGGGGTTCTGGGGGTTGGGTGTTCGAGCCTTTGGGTCTTAGCTCCACGGCTCCTCGACGGTTTAGGATTTACTTGTAGTCTCCATTGTAGTTCCTTGTTGGGGTTACCTTGTCGGATCCTTTTTTGGGGTTACCTTGTCGCATCCTTTTTTGGGGTTACCTTATAGGATTCTAATGATAGAGTTGGGTTAAAACAAAAAGAAAGGAGCTACAATGGAGACTTTAGATAGGGCTTCGGCTTCCAATCCCACAGCGACCCTGCTGGGCTTCTCACTGAACGGGCCTTTAGCGGTTGTAGGGCAACCAGCTTGTAGACAGCCTTGCTGCTTTTGAGTTACGAATATACTACAACACACTGTAATACACCATAATGTACTTTATTATATACCTTATCTCTCTTCTTCAATAGCCAGGCCCAAAAAAAGTTCAAACTTTTTAGGATAGACTGAATATATAAGGCCAGAAAGTTTAACGTTCTCCCATTGGCTATCTAAGTTATAGTATACTATAGCACCCACAGTTCCCGCCCGAGGAAGACTTGGGGCCTTTGACAGGGCTGCTCCCGGTCCAGGCCTGGATTTCGGCTGCCCAGAATCTGGGGGCTCATCCGTGGCTGCGGCACATCATGAAAGCACCATAACATTGAGCCCAATACCCCTTAATTAAGGAATATACCTTAAATCATAAGATTAAGGCCCCTATAATTTTCAGGTATCTTCCTTATTTAAGGGGTATTGGGCTCTCTGGGCCTAGCATTGAGGTTCTGCCCTTGCGTTCCTGGTACCAGAAGGGATCCTGCACTTACAGCATCAAGAATTCGCGATGCTGAGCCACCGCATACCAAATAAGTTTCTTCGAACTGCAACAAGTCTCGAGCCAAATCTGCTCATGGGCAACGACTCACATGTCAAACTCGGTTGTCTACAAAGTTCAATACTTACCAATACTATTCCTTAGGCGAGGGCCAGCAACTATGCGAAAACTACCTGAGACGTGTGGGGTCTAAGAACTGTTGGTGGGGTCTGTTTGCTTTTTTTGCGGGCTTTGCACCGTAAACCGTCACCCCTCCATACCCAACAGCCTGAAGAACTGGTCCCACTCAAACTTAGCACCACACATGCGGTCCTGGATTTGGGATTTATCATAAACCCTGAAAGCTGAATGACTCGCAGCGCTTGCAACGGCCAGAATCCCTGTTCTTCTTCTTCAGTTTATTCAACTTGTTCTTTCTTTAGCTTAAGATGTTCAGGTTCAAGGCTCAGGGCTCTAACTTGTAAAGATTAATTATGAGACAAAACAGTGAAGGCTTCGGTATGTTCCTTTGCGGAGGGGCGAGGAGGGGGGGCGGCGGCGATATCCTTAACCTAAACCATATAAAGCCCAAAGCCCTAAAATCCTGAAGCCGCAACCCTCCCCTACTACGACATTCCCAAACCTCAAAAACACCCTAAACCCTAAACCCCTACACCCTGAACCCTAAACCTCCGCTGCTTTTTCACCGACTGCAGGCCCAAATGGTCCGAACTCTCGAAGCATCGGGGGGTCTGCAGACTAATCGCGACGACGCGTCGCGCTCGGAGTCTGGGGTTTAGTATCCTGGGTCTACGGTTTAGGATTTGGGATTTGGGGGGTTGAGGCTCTACAGGGTTAGGGTTTAGCATTTAAGTCGTGGACGTTTTTCTGCCTGTTGGAGGTATTTATGCACTCGGGATTTACAGACGAACGGGCGGGGGTCTGCCTGATAGGGCCTACAACAGAGCTTACTGTAGCATTTTGGGGGGGGAAGTACCTTCAAGGGTCTGATCTAACAGTAACATGAGGGGCCTCAGCAGTAACCGAATCCTTTAAATTATCTTTTTTCTCTCTTTGGGCCCTGCTGGATGGGTTCAGGATCTAGACCCCAGCAGGGTTGCAGGCTTCAGGGATGCTGCTATGAAGAGATGGATACCCCACCTGAACCCCCAAAATAACATATGAAGGAAACCCTTAAAAAAAGGGCAGGTTCCTCCAGGATCCAGGTAGACCCTAAACCCCCTAGTGCCCGAGTTCTTGGCCGAAAGGTGAACCTCTAAACCTGCCTCTTGGCTCACAACAAATTTGGGGTTCAGGGTTTAGGGTTTAATGCTAAGCTCTTGCTTCTGGTAGAACTTTACGTATCCCATGTTAAAGGTCGAAGATTGGCCCTGCGAAATCCTAAAGCCCAAGCCTCAGAATAATGAAGCCTGGATAGTTATTATAAGATGTCCCCCAAACCCTATTCTGTTTTTAGGCACCTACATTAGTTAAGGCTTTCCGATGCTCCGTTCTGAATAATGCTTCGTTTAAGTCCCACGGGTTGTGGTGCAGCTGCTAGATTTCCCGATTATCTAGAAGCCTAGCTGGGTTGCAGTTTTGGGGCCCTTAAAAGTATTTATGAATATGTACCTCTATAGGGACCATAGGGGAAATTTTTAAAGTTGCCCAAAGTGCCACCTAGCTAGGTAATTGCCAATATTATTCCTTACGGCTCCTCGTTGTTGTAAGTACAGTATGAAGGAGCCCAAAAGCCCTCTTCCAATTATTGGCTGCTTCGGGTTTACTCAACTCGGGTCCGCCAGATATTTTGCCTGATAGATGCGATCCTTTCACTTTCTGGTTCAGTCTGCAATATAAGCCAGAACAGTTGGAACAAACTTGTCCGCATGATCCCAGGGCAAAGTATATAGGGGATCCCAGCGCTTTTTTTTTACTCCAAGTTCCAACTTTCTGGGGTTCACTATAAGCTACAGGACTCTAGGAAGCTTGCTGTCCACGCTAAGTGCGCAAGACAGGCGCTTCCTTTGTTTCACGGCCTCCTCAACACTGCCGCCCACCATCCGGGGAATCTCTCTACATCGTAGGAGAAGAGGAAAGTCGATATGGGTAGTTCTCTAAATTAGGGTCTCTTTCAGAGTCCTTTTGTAAGGGTGCCGTACTAAATTGTGGACCCAAAAAGCGATCCTAATTTAGAGAACTACCCATATCCCCAAAGACGACGATTCAGAGGTGGAGGGCGGCACTGCTGAAGCACGCCTAAGAAAACGGCAGGGCCTTGTAGATACTGTCCGGCACCACGCTGGCCTGGATTCCTCGACTTTGTTGCATCTTGTTTTCCAATTTAGCTGGGCTTGGTGGCATCCATGCTCGTGATTTCGAGACCGTGCTAGCCTCGGCCCTACAACTACATTGACAAACCCAAACAGATATGCGCTAGACCTCGAAGGTTTATTGCTAAGGGTTTAGGTTTCGGTTTGGGGGCTTTAGCTGTCCACTTTGGCCTGTAACTACCTTTAAGCACGTCCTTGAGCCTGAACCCCCTCCCAACAAAAGGTACAAGCCCTCTACCCATAGGCCCCTAAGTAGTTCCTCTTTATGATCTATATTTAGAATCCCATAAGGTAATCCCCAAAAGGAACTACTTAGGGGCCTATGGGTAAGCCCTCTCTGCCTTTTTGGAACCCTAAACCCGAAACCCCTAAACCCTAAACCCTAAGCCCACTCTGCCTTTTTTGACCCCTAAACCCTAAACCCTAAACCCCTAAACCCTAAACCCTAAGCCCCCTCTGCCCTTTTTTGAACCAAGGTCCGGAGCGCCTTTAGGCCTTCGGATTGAAGGCTTCCGGTCGAAGCCCCCTGGCCCTAAACTCCTACTGAGGGTTTAGGTTCTACTTAGGGTTTAGGGTTTAGGGCTTGGAGCTTAGGGTTTAGGGTTTAGGGCTTAGAGGTTAGGGTTTAGGGCTTAGGGCTTAGGTCTTAGAGGTTAGGGTTTAGGGCTTAGGGTTTAGAGCTTAGAGGTTAGGGCTTAGGGCTTAGGGTTTAGGGTTTAGGGCTTAGGGCCTTAGGGACTTGCTTTCTTGACGATTTACTACAGATGTTCGAGAGCAGTTCTAGAAGGTTCTACAGGCATAGTCTCTCTTGCTGGACCCTTCATTAGGGTTTGAGGTTGTTCAGGATTTAGGGCTTAAGGTGTAGGTTTTTTAGGGCTTCGATCTTTGCTTGAAAACTTCGTTTAGTCACTTTAAAAGGTCTTGGCATAGGATCTGCTTACTTATGTGAAGCGGGCTTCAATGTAACATGGACTATGAGCGGGCACTATTGGCAGTCATTTGTGCCGACTGTACTACATCCTCTAGCAGTTCTCAAAGAAGGAGATCCCTTCAACAAGGGCTCTTCGCAACTCCCGTGGCTCCTCCCTACTTGGACGATCAGGGCACCTAGTAGGTAGGGTTGCCGCTTTAGGGTTTAGGGTTTTTGGTAGTAGGTAGGGCTGGTTGTGGTTGCAACAACAGTTGTGCAAGGTACGTATATGTACATAAAACCCTAGTTAAAAAAACACACACACACAAACACACACGAAAGCGACACCACCACGTTTCCAAATGAGCCATTCATTGAAACCCCCACAGTATCAAAGCTACTTCACCTGAAGACCAAAACCCTGCACCCTAAACCTTAAAGCCTTAACTCAAAATTTTAAGGCCGGGAGTCCATTGCGGCAAAGCTCGGCACCATACTCTTGCGCGGCTGTCTTCGGCACGACACAGACCTGGGCTTTAGGACCTTCAGGGTCGGCTTTGCTATAGGGGCCTTCATAAGCAGAAAGAGGCTTGATCGAGGGTTGATAGTTTTGGCAGCCGGGGCTGGGGTTTGGGTTTGGCATTCACTGGCACGAAACGGCGCCACAGTCGTCCAGCCTCTGTCAATCTTCTATGTGGATAGTTCTCAATTTAGGGTCCCTTTTAGGGTCCTTAATATATGGGTGCCGTCGCATTTTGGGGACCTAAAGCGGGACCCTAATGTATGAAACTACTCATACAGACCCCTTACAGTACCCTTATAGTAACCCCAGAAACACCCTCATAGATCCCTTCGAAGAACCGTATTCAGGAACTTTTGGTAATTAAGCCTATACCTATAGAAACCCTTTAAGGAACCCTGTTCAGGAACTCGAAAAATAAGTTGTACAACCGCTTGTCTCACCAAGCCTGACAGTCCCAGAGGCCTCAGCTCCAGAGATCTTGTAGACCGGAAAGACCCGAAGAGGGGGAGGTTCTCTCTGCATTGGGGCCCTTTTGGGGGATCCTTTAAGGGTGCCGTAAGGGTTTAGGGTTTAAGGGCTACTATGTGGGTAGTTCTCTAAATTGGGGTCCCTTTTAGGGTTCCGTTGATAAGGGTTCCGAACTATATTGGGGACCACAGAAGGGGACCCTGATTTGGGGAACTACCCCCATATGGGGGCTAAGACAATTACCGATATTCTTCCTTATCGGGGTTTAGGGGTTCCTTATTATGATTATAGTATAATAAACCCCTAAACCCTAAACCCCTAAACCCTAAACCCTAAATGCAACCTGGCATCACTCACCATGCCGATGCCGGTGGGATCCGCGTCGCCATTTCTCCAACACTCACGCGTGAGCACCTGAGCCTTCGGAGGGCAAAAAAGGCCTCCACCCAGGACCTCCCCCAAGAGTACACTTCATAGAAGCTTTAGGTTTAGGGACTTTCGATAAACCTGAATTCTTCCAGAGTTCATGTCTTTGAAAGGCCTCAGGCGAAGGTTTATTTTTTTAGAAGCCACTGAGGTTAGGCGACTCTGAGGCCACTGTAGATGGGACTTAGGAAAGGGTCGGTAGGTTTTAGGGCTGCGGGCTTTGGTTGAGCACTTCAGCACATCATGATGACATAATGAAGTTCTGCCTTAGATTAGAAACCCTGGAAAAGGAGGTAGGATTCGAATGCGCGTCAATGCTTGCTGCAGAGTAGAGATCTTCTGACGAGTCTTGTGTTTCTAGGTGTTGGAACCCTGAACCCGGACGCTCTATTATCTCAATTATCCCAAACCCTACGGTAAGGCACTAACTAAGACCACTTCCTACACGGCCGTAACATCTAAACCCGAACCCCCCCCAAGCCTGAAGCCCTTAAACCTAAATGCGCCTTAAGACCCGAAAACCTAGCCCGTCCAATGCTGAAGCTCCTGAAGCGTAAACACTCAAGTGTTCTCGGCCTGCTTCCTCGTGATCAGCGGCACGGACTTCCTGTTACTTCGGCTTTGCTTGGCGGTTCCGGGTTCCAGAAAGGTCAGGGGTTTAGGGTGTAAAGGCTTGGCAGCTAGAGCTTAAGGGCCCATGTCAGAAACGCAAATGAAGATTCATTGTAGAACCCTTATATATACCCCTTGTAGAAACCCCACGAGACTTCTTGACTCCGCCTCCCTTCCTCCTTCGGTGCGTAGAAGAGAAGGTGATCCAGCAAACACGTAACAGTTGTGCACATACACACCCTAAGCCCTTAACCCTAAACCCTACACCCCTAAATCCTAAACACGCAAACCGTGTACATGCCAAACCTCAAACATTCAGTCAGGTGACTGGTCTTAAACCTCGACCCTCGGCGCGTGCAGGAACGATGCACCGGTCACTAATAGCATCCAAGTTGCGTGAGCAAGTCTGTGTAGGCCTCCCAAGACATGTCCTCAGATAGGCTTTAGAACTTTAGGCGTTGAGGTTTATCTTCAGCCGGGACCTAAAAGCTCGCATAAGCAAAGCGACATCACGTGCAAGCCAGGATATAAAGTGCTTGAGGAAGTTGCAAAACTGCCTCGTGGTGCCCCTGCCAACCCCTGCCTAGACCCGAATTTCTGAGCTTTAGGGTTTCTTGAACATTCACCCAACATTTTCTGAACCCTAAACTCTGAACCCTAGGGGTTCATTAGAGGTTTCGGGCTTTTCTGGGTTTGGGGGGGTTTCGTGCCCTGATCTTGGAACCGCTGAAGCTCCAGAGCATGAAACTCCAAAGCTTTCTCCGTAAATCATATACAGTTGCAAGGGGTTTGCGTTGAGGGATTAGCGTCTGGGGTTATTCGAGTCTAGGGTATTGAAGAGTATATATTCGTACTTCTCTAGTATCCGTGTCCTAGAGGAACTAAACGCTAACCTTATGGCAGCACTTATAGTACCCCAGGAGGTTGAAGGTTAGGTACTCCACGACGAAGTATAGGGGGGGGGCCTTCAGAATCGCGGAGCCTTGAGCTCTCTGGGCCCCCAACCCCAAACCTAAACCCTAAACCCTAAACCCTAAAGCCCAACCCCAAACCACGACCCCGAATGCCGGAAGCCCCCGCTGAGGCACTGGCGCAGTCCATTCCCTTCGCGCCTTCTGCCTTGGAATCTCCTTTCAGGCCTTGGTATCTGTCTATGAGTTGATATAGTACACCCCCTAAACGTTAAACCCCAAAAAAGTTGGAAACGGGATGAAGGACAATTGGTGCTGGGACTCCCGGTACATGGGTAGCTCTCTTATAAGTTAGGATGGCTTTTTGGGCCCCCAATATAATACGGAACCCTTATAAAAAGGACCCCCAAAGGGACCCTACTTTAGAGGACTACTTTCATTTCTCTTTTGGGTTGAGGCTATGAGATTTCCAACTGTTGGGCTTCTACTGTAAGTCCTTCTAGGCCTCTTTGCCACAAAAGGCTAGGGCTAGGGTAGTCGCTCTTTTTCAGAAACCATCATGGGCCTCCTTGCAAAGGGTTCAGGGGGTTAAGGGGGGCTTGAAAGGTGGCCTTGATAATCAGAAAAAAGTACTTCGGGTCTACCATAGTAAAGGAAACCTATAAACCCTACACCCTAGCAACGACCAAAACCCTACTGTAGCGGCATTGAATTCCTTTAGAGGGGATTTAGGGTTTTGGGCTGTAGAGCCTTAAGGGTTTAGGGTGCAGAGGCCTTGAGTTCCTTCAAGGCTTTTCGTTTTGGGGTTCCTATGAAGGTTTACGGTTTAGGGATTGGGTTCAGGGTTCATCGGGTTTAGGGTGTGAGGGTGATTGCAAGGGGTTGAATATTGGGGGTTGCATTCTTGGCAATACATAGCAACACTATGTTGTGTCCTATGCGCTGGTCAAAATTTCTAGTAAAAGCCTGCACACAGCTTGTGCAGCTTATGCTAAAAGCACCCGAGTTTCTCAAACCCGAAGCGCCAAAACCCTCTAAACCCTAAACTTGCCCCAAACCCCAACCCCCCCTCCCCCCTCAAAAACCAAAGCTCCGAAAGCCCTTGCCCTGTTTTGCTTTGGGAGTCTAGGTCTCTTTGTGATGTCAGGGCTGAGGGTTGCGGGTCTAAACCGCAGCTCGTAACCGTGAAGTCTATTGAAGTCCCTTGACCTCTAAACCCCCGGCCTGATTCGTAGATTCGGCCATCCCCCCATCGTCAGTTTGCACTGTTCTAGGGCATGCTGCTGATCAAACCAAGGGTGCCCACAGTACGGAGTGTGTGTGTGTGTGTCAAAAAGCCCAAAAGCCAGAACCGTAAACCGTTGTGTAACCCCACACCCGAATGCCTTGTCTGACAAGACGCAGGTGTGCTTGCGCCATGGTAACTTGCACCAGGGCGTTCGACAAGCTGTGCAATAGGCCAACACCCTGCGTCAGATTACAGGTAGGAGCTGAGAATGTCTTTAAGCCTTCAGGGTTTAGGGCTGTAGGGTTTAGGCCTTCCGGCCTTGAAATCCTATCTTAACCCCTGATGACCTACCTTTTCAAGGACTTATAAAAAGTCTGTATAAGGGAGTCATCATAATCAGGTAGAATTTACAAAAGGAAGGATTAGTGGGCTCAAGTGTAGGTCATTCGTAAACCCTAAATGTTGCCCTACACCCCAGGCCCTGGGGCTTTCTGGAATCAGCAAATTCCCAGAGAGCCCAATCCCCTTTACTTAAGGAATACATACCTTGACTCTACAAAATTACGGCCCCTATAATTTAAGGTATATTCCTTGTTTAAGGGGTATTGGGCTCTCTGGGTTCGTGGCTCAGGATTATAGTTCTGCATGGACATACCCCTCGCAAGAACGCTAAATAGCGCACCTATGCCTATGCTCAGGATTTGGACCATTAGGTTTATTAGAGGGTTGAACTTCAAACCGCTCTCGGAGACTAGCCCCGAAAGAGGAAGTTTACGTCCTCATCCCCTCCAACAGAAGTACAGCTTTCTCATTCGGTCGGAGGGAGAAGACACGATGTTAAGAACTCCTGAACAGCCCGTGGCAATAAAGCAGGTATATTCCTTTATTTAGAGGGTATTGGGCTCTCTGGGTACTGGCCCGTATGTAGCAGCTCCACCGCCTCCAGTACAGCTCTTCTTCCGGCTTGGCAGCGGCCTCTACAGCATGCAGCATGCAGCACAAGGTGTCGTACCTCTGGCTCTGCCTCAAAAGTTCAAAAATAAATCTGGAACCCAAGATGACAGATTCCCAAATTGTAGGATCATTCCTACAAGGACCCTAAACTTGGCTCCAAGCAAGGTATCCCCCATCTTTAAGAAGTTCGCAGATGATGCTGTCACGCTGAAACGCAGGCACTGCATGCAGAAAACTCTCGTGTCGTCGGATCTTGTTCCGTTCGGGGCTTAGGGCGAAACACCGTGGCACTTAGGGTATAGGGCTTCAAGAAGTTTCAACCCGCGGGAAGCCAGCCTTCACCGCCTCGTCCATCGCAGTCATCTTCTTTGAGATAGCGATGGAGGCCTCACATCATCTACTACTGTGAAGGGTACTATAAGGCATCTACAAGGGCTACGAGAAGTTAGAAGGAATCTACAAAGGCTACCACAAGGGTTGCGGTAAGGGGTCTAATTGTTAGGAAGGGTTTGAAGCACCACATAGGGTCTCTCTCAGGTTTCAGCAGCCGTGCAGATTCAGAGCCCTTCCTAAACCCTCGAAACCCTGGAAGGGATAGGCCCTACAAGCCCTTCAAAGCCTAAACCCCTGAATTAACCCCCTAGACCCTAAACCCTAAACCCTAAAACGCTAACCACCTATGGAAGCTTCTCTAGGAATCCTTCAGGAACCCTTATAGGAGCCCCTTTTGGAATAATCCTTAAAGGAACCGTTTTTGACAACCCTTACAGGTTTTCTTCACAGAAACCTTTCTACCTCGAGCAACCGGTCTAAAGCCCTGAAACCCTAAAGCCCTAAAGCCAAAACCCCTACAACCCCTAAGCCCTAAAACCCTAATGCCCTAAAACCCTAAAGCCCTAACCCCTAAACCCCTACAGCCCTACGACCCCTAAACCCTAAAACCCTAACCCCCGAGATTTTGAGCCCTTGGCCGGCAGAGCCGGGTCCGCAGCCAAGGCGATCCGGGAAGGCCTCTCTCGGAGTTTCTAGGCTTTGGGGTTTGGGGTTCCATTTTTCGGGTTTCGTTTTTTGGGGTTCAGGGTTCAGGGTTTAGAGTTTGGGGTTCAAGGTTTTGGGGTTTAGAGTTTGGGGTTCAAGGTTCAGGGTTTAGGGTTCAGGGTTTAGAGTTTGGGGTTCAGGGTTCAGGGCTTAGAGTTTGAGGTTCAGGGTTCAGGGTTTAGAGTTTGGGGTTCAAGGTTCAGGCTTCAGGGTTTCTACAGAATAACTTTAAGATTCAAGGATGTTTTGTTATCTTTTTTTTGGGGGGGGGAGGGGGGGGGGTCCTAGACTCTACCTTTAGGGTTTAGGGCTTAGGGCGTTAAGGTTGTCTACGCTTCAAGGTTTGGGGGGGCCTTCTAGGGCCTCCTGTTTTTTTCTCAGCCCCGCCCCTGCTTGAAGGAAGCCTGCCACGACCACTCTCTTTAAGATTCCGAACTTGGATCCCAACTTAATTAGCAATCTTACAGGACCATGAATCGAAGAAGAGACAAAAGCATAAACCCCCGAACCCTAGACTCTGTATGGATAGTTCTCTAAATTAGTGTGCCTTGTAGGGTCCTCTTTATAAGGGTGCCGGACCCTAATTTAGAGAACTGCCAAGATAAAGCCTACACGCCGAATCCCCAATGAAGGGCAAGAGGCCTGGAGATCTGCAGCGGGGCCACGCCCGCGGAGGAGCCTGTAAAGCTCCGAAAACCTGGCAGACATCAGCAAACGCTTCAATCAAAAAACTCCACGAGTAGGATGAAGGTAGGTAGGTGGGGTAATTCCAAGTACGCGATATAAGGCATACTTTATTTATCCTAGCTACTTTCCCAGTATGTTGCAGTCTGAAGCACTCATATTTCCGGAAACAACCTCTGAAACCGAAAACCTGAACCCTTAAACCCAAACCCTGAATCCTAAACCTCAAGTCCAACTCTTGGGCTTTGTCCTACGAGTCTTTACTGGTGTTTAAGACTGAGGGCTCCAGGGCTGAATCGATCAGACTTCGGTCGCCCTGGGTTTAGGGCTCAGGGTTGTGGTTTTTTTTTGGTTTGGGGTTTAGGGTTGTGGGGTTTTGGTTTAGGGTTGTGGGGTTTTGGGTTAGGGTTTGGGGTAAAAGGCTCTGTGGTCCTATGACTTAAGGTATTTTTGGGGTTTGGGGCTTTAGAAACAAAGTTAGGTTGGGTGCTTTTGCGGTTTGAGGGTGCGTAGGGGGATAGATTGGGTTTTCGGGGTTTTAGGGTTGTTTCAGGGCATATGGGACCAACACATCTTCAGCCTATGGGGAATATGCCTTCGAAGGTAATATACCCTCAAGCCTCTGTCCCCACTTCTACTTATACTTGTAACTCCACTGTGTCTCGAAATAAACAAAAGGCTGTACAGCTTATGATTTTGGCCATCGAGAGCCTTGATTGCGCTGTGTCTGTTCAAACATCAAACTCTGGAACGTGGGGAAACAAAGACCGCTCAAATGGCGACTGCTAGTACTACAACATGCAACCCACGAATATTCCCACTACAGCTCTTGTCTCAGTGCTTTCTAGTGCTCTACGCTACTCTTCCAATTTCTGACTGAATAGGATGCTTATGGTTGGTATTGTTTGTTGTGGTGCAAAGACGGCCGTTGACCGTGCTGTAACTGATAGGATGATTTCTCCGTGTGTGTGTGCGTAAACCTGTATGTGCACCAGTTGCTTCTGTGCTGCAACTTAGCAACTCTTTTGAATATATATATATATATGTTTATTCATTTATTTATTTATATGCATGCATATACACACATGCATGCAACCAAGCAACCATCCATCTATCCATCCTTCCATCCATACATACAGACACCCAGACTGTATGTCCGCACATGTGCCAAGGCGAGATGCCTGCTCCATCGGAAGCCACGTATGCGGCCAAGAGCAGCACAGCGCGCAGGAGGCGCTTCTGAGGCGACGGGCACAGGGCTTAGCTCTTTCATCCTGAATCCCGCAGACCTGAAACGAAAGCCCTAGACGAATGAACCCGAACCCTGAAACCACAAGCACTGAACCAACATAAAACAGAATCCCCGAAACCCTTCCAAACTGCAAGCCCAAGGCAGCAACACCGAAGCCCTAAATCCCAAACGTTGCTGTTCGCATGGACAATGGTGACAACAGCCCTACCCAGAGAGCCCAATACCCCTTAACTAAGGAATATACCTTAAATCATGATATTACGGCCCCAATAATTTAAGGTATATTCCTTACTTCAGGGGTATTGGACTCTCTGGGTAATCCATGACTCTGCCTCGATGGTGCGCCGCAGGGGCTGCCGCCGCTCCTGCTCCGGGTCTTTCCCTCAGGCCACCATACCCATAGGCCCCTAAGTAGTTCCTTTCTGGGATTACCTTAGAGGGTTCTAAATCAACCATACAAAGGAACTACTTAGGGGCCTTTTGGGTAACTATATCTGGAGGTTGTAGGGTTCAGGAAGCTTGGGGTTTAGGGTTATAGGAGTAAGGGCTTAGACTTAGAGTTTAGGGGGTATTAGGGTGTAGGGTTTAGGGTTTAGGCCTCAAATGTAAACCCTCATACCGATGTTAAATATCTATGCGGGGCCTGCGAATCAAGGAGAATGACAGGTAAAGGCCATGAACACATGTGTGTAGTTCTCTAAAGGTTTAGGTCCCCAACATAGTATGGCACAGCAGAATATCAGCATCGAAATAATCATTACGTGTCTCATGAAAAACAGCAGCCACCACGGCAGCACAAGCATACTGCTCAAACCCTAAACCCTAAACCCCTAAACCCTAAACCCTAAACCCCTAAACCCTAAAACATCGCTGCAACAGGAAGAAGGGGAAGTGCCTCGGCGTTCGAGCTGTGACCTTGGTGCCGCTTGGAGAAGGTTGCAAGCATAAATAAGCCTGCTGTACTATAAGATAGTATAGTATATTGCAGTATAGTATAAAGCAGTGTGGTGTAGTAAGTCTAGTAATTATGGTAGTGTATCGTATGATATGACAGTCTGTTTGAGAAGCTCCCTGGAAGTTTCAGCATTGGGTTTTCGGGCCAGGCTGTGTGCAATAAAAGGGTGAGATGGGCTCGACCAGGACAGTTTCATGTTTCTGCGGGCGAGGCACTCGGCACCATCTGATGCATCATAAAGCGAACACGTAGCCCGGAAATGCAAGTCGTTGAATTCTGTTGCGCTGCACGTGGGTAACCCGTATTCATATATATATATATATGTATAGATAGATAGATAGATAGATATAACATATATATATATATACATACATACAGACATAAATACATACAGACATAAATACATACAGACATAAATACATACAGACATAAATACATACAGACATACAGACAGACATACAGACAGACATACAGACATACAGACATACAGACATACAGACATACAGACATACATACATACATACATACATACATACGTACATACATACACACACAGCGCAGCGCAGCGCAAATTAGCATGCCTTCTGTTCCACGGAACCTTCATCTGCTGGTGAGGGCTGAGATCACTTGGGGTGTCCATCCTGCGATCTGTTGAGAAGCATCGTTGCTGCCTACCGTGACCTTATCTTCGGCTCCCTGCTGACCGACCACCGTCGGCTGGAGCCAAAGCAGCAGAGGCAGAGCGATGCATCAGCACAAAGCCCCCGCCGCACGACGATCTTCGGATTCCTGGCTATCTACAGGGTCATATCCTACCCCTTTTGTAGGGTACCTCCCTCTAGGTAGAACCACGCAGCAACCCTCCTCGCCATGTCAGAGAGTCCTGCACGGACCGTTGCCATTTTGACGCTAAGGCTGGCACGAAGCTCTCATCCTAAGATCAATCTATACTCTGCGACCTCCTGGATGCCGCGATACACCAGCAGCTTCCGCCGATCCTACGAGCCCCTAGTTAACCAACCGAACTCCGACCAGAAACCTCGCCAAATTCGAACAGCTTGAAGCTGACACTCCACACCTAAAACCCTGATCGTAGTATACTATAGTAGAATTTGGTATAGTATAGCTCCACGCTTACCCCAAACCCTTGACATCAACCTTGCTGTCTGCTTTAAATGCATCAACCCGTGCAGCAAAGGTCTTCACATTGCTACGTTCACTTCTTCTCGTAGACCGGGCGCAATGCCTAGAACGAGGTGTAGGGCTGTGGTGTTGTCGGGGTTGCGAAATTTAATGGTTGAGCTTAGGGCTTGAATTGTATGAGGTTTACAGAGTGCTCTAACTCTAAAGCGTAGGATTTAATTCAAGGCTCCTCGGCCTAGGATATAGCGTAAAACTCAGATTGAAGTTTTCGAGTTTCGTCAAGGGTGTTGGGTAACCCTGCCCCCTACATAGACCCGTCAGCCGGGAACAAACTAAGGGTTTTTTGGAACATCCAAACCCCAAACCTTGGACTCTCTAAACCCTAAGAGCCTGAACATGTGCATTCTAGCCCTACTTAGGGACTTGGGTTTGATGGGTCTTCGGCTCTGTCTTCCTGGCAAAGCCGGCCTCGATGGCCTTGTCGAGGGCATCCACCTCGACGATGAGTCTGTCGAGGGCTTTAGGCATGTAGGATCTAGGGGTTTGGGGGTTTTGGGCTTTAGGGCTAAGGCTAAAGATTGTTAATGATTAAGGGTTTTGAACCTTTTTAGGGTCGAGATTGGTTGAGGATTTTGCCATGTGGGGTTTGTGTTTTGGGGTGGCTTGAGGGTATATGATTTAAGGTGTATGTATGGTGGGGCAAAGCTTGATAGTTATGAAGGGCCCGAATAACGTGTAGTTTGAGGCCTCAAGCCTGAAATCCGCGCTGGCTGGAGCGATTGGGGGTCAGGGCGAAGGTACGGGCTTTGAATGCTGTTCTGATTTCGGCCTGGGGCTGAGGTTTGCCAAGGGCTGAGTTTCCCGAATCCCACTCCGATAAATGCCTCAATTGGGAGGCCAAACCGTTTTGACTTTTGCGACCTCATATGTAATTCTACT